CAGAAGTTGCATTAAAGGCCAGAAGATGTCCAGACGATGAAAGTTTCTCGAGGCCTGCATGGTAAGAGATATTAAACACAGAAGAAAGGATAAATGCTGAGGCGGACAAAATGATGTGAGGCGAAAATGCAATGAGAAATGAAGAATTAAATGGTAACTTCGAAGCTAAGAATATGCCCACGTTATTTTGATACTAGTACTACTAATACCATTTATTATTCATCTACATATAGAAAGTAACACTGATTTTCATCTTATAACAAAGTACTATCAATAATAACAAGAAAATATACAAAGTGATATCAATAAATAACAAGAAAATATCCAATCAAAAATTGATCTCACACCCATGGTCGGAAGTTATTATTGATGTGGCCATTATGCACTACTTCAGAACTTTTCACAGTTAAGCACTAGAGGAAAAGAAAAACTTTAGTGCCTATTCCACAGGCAGTATACAGAGTCATGGAATAATTTGTTTTAATGCACAACTTCCCTGTCACAATCTACTCATCTATTTTTTTTTTGTGTGTGTGTGTGTGTAGTTAGCATTTCTACTCCTCTTATTGTCTAAATCTGCGTTTCTACTTTCTCAACAATTTTTTCTCTTTCTTTGTTGAGAACAAACTAATGAAACAGTGGAAGTTTCTGAATAGACTCAGACCAGGTACACAGAAAGACATGAAAATGATGGCCTGATCATTCAAAAAACTATTTCTTTACCTAAGAAATGTCTGTCTTTTACAATAATCAGAAATTTGCCAATTCATTTGTGAAGTTCAAATGATTCCAGCTATGAAATTAGTTGCAGTCATTGTCCCTCTTGCTCATGTTAATGTTTCCTCTAGAAAACTTGTTGCGCCAAGGTATACTAGAATAAAGGGAAAATACTTAAGAAAAAAAGTACAGATAGTTTTATGCATTCTATGACATATTATAGATTTTGGAATCAAAATAATGTCGAATTCACCAGGTGTACTCTGTTGGTCTATTTTTCTAGATAAGTACTTTAGACAAAACTGTAGTATATACTCTTCAATTTTGAATCATTAGGAATTATCATTTACTAAAGCATAATACATGAAGATACGAACAACTAAAAAAGTATGGATATCTTCAAAGTTATTGAATGCATGCAAACATAATCATCATACGTATACAAATGGTGCATGTCAGGGGAATAATGTATTACCTCGACAATAAAGCAGGCCCATGTATTGTCCAAGCGGCTTTCCATCACACCCTTGAGCACAGTTAGTTGCAAATTATAAATCACATCAGCAACTTCCATAAAGCGAGTATGGTCATTGCACAGCATCTGGTCAAATATGAACAAGTAAAAGTAAGTCATACTGCATCCACAGCAAAACAGACGAGAAGGATCCTCCGAAGCAAAAGGGCAGTCCAAATTATTGTTGAGAAAAATTGATAAACACTAGCATGGACAATGCCATGGGCTTAATAATTAGACGAACAGGGATACCTCTATAAGCATGTGTCCAGGGTACTCGAGATCTTTCACAACTATGGGGTATAGTTGCTGCTCACTTCCTAATTCCACAGCCCAGCTTGTCCCATTTTGACAATCAGTGTTAGCTTCAGGTCCTTTAGGAATGTTTTCATCAGTTTCCTGTCAAGGAGTTCATTAGCTATGAATAACTGCATTTTAACA